TGGATATTCTAAGGCTGTATGCAAAAAGACAGTCAGTTTTTGAGAAATTAGTTTGCAAGTGTGATCATGGGATGTAAAAGCTAAGTCGACCGCTTTACCACCGATGATATTTCTTTAACCGCATTTAAGCTGGATAGACCAAGGACCAAGTTTCAATTTAAAAGCATAATAGAAACTGCTGAAGACGTTTCGAAAAAAAAAAAATTTCACCGTCTCATCAGATTCAGCGATCAGATTAGTGTTCTTGCCCACCCTTTTTAATACAACAAACCCATGCAGATGTTTATGTCTTTATCCTTCAGTTAATTGTGTCAATAGTTAAGAACTCAAGTCCATTCTTTCTCATGACATGTGCGGAAACTGCGGAAACACCGATTGCCAATGCCTTTGTTGGCAACTTGTTTCTGTTTTGAGACGGACTGCCTCGGTAGGTTTCTATCATATTCTTTTGATTCCTGTCAAGAAACATATTTCCTCAAGGAGAAGATCTGTTTCGGATTGTGTACTTATCGTCCATACACCACAAACATAGAACAACACAGATTGACATCAACACTTTATACTCTTTCCTCCTTTGCGGAAAGTCTCTTGCTACCATGTTTGGATGTATGTTTGCGCTCTCTATTGCATTGTATAAGTTCGTCTTCATTTCCGTTAGGCTGTTTGTAATGCCATCTATCCTTCATGTCTGTGCTTTCTTTTTTTTTTCTTTTTTTTTTTGGTATCAATTATATCTCTCCAGCGTAGCGTTTTGTGTAGTTGGTACCAAGCAATCTCAACAGATAACAGAACCATTGTATATGCTATTCATTGATGAATTGTTTGACTGGTTTCTGACTTTATTCTTCTTCTTCTTTGTTCACCGGCTGAAAGGTACAGCAGAAAGGCATCGCTGTTCCTCCATTTGGATGCTGGCTTTATGCCAGGGCCTGATGTTTACGTGTATATCCATTTTGCTAGTTTATTTGTGTGCAGTTGGTTGTATACTGCCGCTCGGCAGAGTCACTGGGACTTCGAAGGAAGCCCCTAACTATCCAATCCTTCGACATGCTTGTTGGGGCAGGGACAGTAGGTCTCTTCTTGTTTTCCCTAAAATGGGACCCTGGAACCCTCACGAGGAGGTTTCTGACCAAATCTTCTTATTTCTTAATTTTTGAATGTCATTATTTATATTTTTTCTTTTATTTTTTTACTCAGGCATCTTTCACAACATATCTCCTTTGTTATAGTTTTAAACAGACGCTAGTTGGGATTCATGTTTGACGAATGTACCATAGCGTTTAGTCTGATTTATTTCTTCTGACAGTTTATTTACTAGACAAATGTATCAAAAGTTAACTTTAAACAGCTGACTGCCAGTTCATTTAGATAATAAATTCATAACCCGTGTAGAAATAAACAGCACACATTCAATAATGGTTTAACATATGTATTCTTTTAGCGACATTATGTCATTTAACGCAGCTTATCAAAATACCTCTACATGGGTTCGTGGGTTCTGACTGTGGTGTTTGCTATGTTCTGAAACATCAAACTATATCATAATTTACTGAGGTTGAGTAGTCAAATCGTATGTACAATTTGTATAGTAAATATTTTTTTTTCTCCATTTTTTACACACACACACACACACACATACACACACACACACACACACACACTCACTCACTCACTCAAATATATGCACAGTTGCTGTTGATTATGAAGAGATGACGATGATGATTATATAATGCTGATAATCATGCAAATACAAACTTATGATGCTACTAATGATTAGGTGGTGACGGAATGATGCTGATGAAGAAAAGGTGATGATGAGATGATGTTGTACTGATGCGGAAGAAGTTCAAGATGATAAGACCGTTATGGGATGATGATGATGATGATGAGATGATGATTATGTTGAAGTTGATGAGATGATGTTGATTATGATGAGATGACGATGATGATAACTTGGTGAATGGAGCAAGTCAAGAACACTGCCCTGATCTGTGATTCCAGTGATTGTGTCAGAGAGCATAACATAAACGCCTACGAATATCAGAAGGCACAACATGATGATGCAAATAACTAGGTAATCTGTTTACAGAGCTACTGCTCCTGCCAATACGATCCGACACTTTCGGCGTTCTGTGGAGGCTGACATTGTGCAGACATTTTTGATTTGAATTTTAACTTCAGTGGTGGGTGGTTTATAAACAAAACATGCATACACACACACACAGAGACATATATATATATATATATATATATATATATATATATATATATATATATATATATATATATATAGAGAGAGAGAGAGACGAGAGAGAGAGAGAGAGAGAACGAACGAACGAACAAACGAACTTTATTTTCAAAGGGTCACAAATTGGGCACACAGGCCCGTCTTACATTCGGCACTTCCAGTCAACAATCTTTCGCAGTTGTGTTTTACTAATAAAGCATGTTATGATCATATGATGTTATGCATATTATGAATATTATAAAAGAACACAAAAGCATGAGTTGTAAAGTGCATGCAAAAACCCGCGCGTGCATAGATACACACGCTCACCCAATCACTTACACACACAAACATGCATGCATACATTACATACACACATACATACACACATACATAGAGAGAGAGAGAGAGAGAGAGAGAGAGAGAGAGAGAGAGAGAGAGAGAGACTTAAAGAGAGACAGAGACAGAAACTTAACACAGTCACGCAAAAGAAACGAAACAGCACACAGTAAGCGAGGAACATAAAAAACAACAAAGATTAGAAAATGTTTGGAAGAAATAAAAAATCGACTTTAGGTAACACACTAGAAAGAGCATCAGAAGATCATTACACCACCTCATCCCACGCCCTAAAAAAAAAAAAAAACTCCAAAAAAGGAAATCAAGAATTGGCTCTTTGAGGTGTTATATGTAGGATATCAGTAAAATTAAATAACTAATAAATGGGCAGCTACAATTAATGGAATTTATGTTAAGCCGTTTCAACAGGTATTTTAAATTTTAAAATTATACTAATTTTCTTCACTGGCCGCTAGCGTTACTGTTTCCAAAAATAGTTGTTTTGTGTGTGTGTGTGTGTGTCTTTCTCACCGCAGGTGAAAATCTCAAAACACGATCACATTGTCAGTATGTGTATTTGTGTTTGTGTATGTGTGTATGTGTGAGGAGAGACTGGTTTTTATCAGCCTGATTTCAGCCATAAGTCAGCATTCGATACTGTCCCTAGTTCCTTTCTAAATATGGCAATAAAGACAGATAATCGAATACGCAGTTCACAATTGTAGTTATCATATTTAGCAAAATGCTCGCCTGTTGGTCGTATGCACCTGGGTTCAAATCCAAACCAGAAGATTATCGAAATAGCAGAAAAACTTTAAATGTCCTTTTTTTTTATATTTTAGAATAAAATGTGAACAAACCATAACACAGCTTAGGAAGTAAAGGCGGCTGGCGTAGAGGTTCTAAAAAAGGTTCTAGTCCATTACTCAGAGAGAAGCACTTCATGCTAAACCCGCTCCTGATAGACCTAAACTGATCTAAACGTATCACTCTAATAATTTCGATGTTCTTTTTCAATCCTTCCGTTAAGCTTTCTAGTCACATTTTTGTAATATTTGACATTTCTTGCTATCAACTCGACTGCACTCAGCACTATTTACGTCAGCACTTCAGATATTTTAAACATAGTTGCATTAACTTGACAGAAGGATGCAGAACCAACCAAACACATTTTTTTAAAAATTTCATTA